CGAAGTAATAGCTTGCGAGGACCAAACCATGGGGGAAATAGCAGTACTATTGTGAAGAGACTTTTTGGGGAGAGAAGAAAAAGTGATAACATACGAGGACGAGCCAGCACTATATATTTGGGGTCAAAAGCTTACTTAAGTTAAGTAGAAGCAGCACTAAGAAGACAAGACAAACCACGTGTAGGAGACGAAGAAGTGCGGAGATGTCCCAGCAATGTAAGTCAGATAAGACAGAACTCCGAATCCGAAGAATCAAATTCAGAATGGAGAGAATGGAAACAAACAATATATCAAGTTATGAGGGGAAGAAAAGAGCGATGCAAAGAGGAAAATCCAAGAAGAAAGCAAGCAGCTAGCCAAACAAGGGAAACGGACTACAGGACAACACAAGAAAAACCAGAAGCATGGGAACAATGGTTAGGTTAGGTTGAAAATGAGTGGGATGATCTCATCGCCTTCCACTGCGACCCACATGGATCTATTGTGGCTCATGACTAACTTATAGTTCACCGTACAAGCCACACCTTTTGATTAAAGGTCATGGTTGAATTGGGTGAGACTTCTTTAAAGTCAGGTAAATCCGAAGAACTGGAACCTGGTTCTTTCCAGAGCGGAGCAGGTACATAAAAACCAGAAGCATGGGAACAATGGTTGAGAAAAAATAAAGAAATCATGAGAAAACAACAAATACCTACGAAAAAATCACGAAAGAGCCAGAGGAAGAAAAAGAAGAAATAAACGATAACCAAAAAGAACTAGAAAAACAAGCAGAACAAAGACAGAATGAGAGGCAAAACACTGACATCACAATGGAAGAAGGAATAATTATACCAGGACGAACAGAAGTACAGGCCACTGGAAAATTGAAAAAGAAGCTAACAGAAAGAAGAATTTTAGGCGACAACCTCAGGGCAAATCTTGTACCTCTAAACATATGATATTATTTGATCGTTTTTCATATTTATAATTGTTACATGTTCAAATACAGTGAGCATCATAAGTCTTGCCCCCTAACTAACTCGTTACTAGAGTCTTGTTAGGAAAATCGCCGAGACACGTCGATTTTTGATTTCTACAATGTACATTTTTGTATGAATAATAGTTTATCCTTAATTTCATCCCTTACAGGAGGTCAATTCTCGACTTGTAGGAACCTTTTCCTATAGGAATTTGTGACACTTTCCTACATGTAGACAAATGTCATAAATTTCCGATGTGTAGAAAAATGTCAAAAATTCCTACGAGTCGAGAATCGACCCCCTGGAGGGAAGCAACTTTTACGAAAAATTTAAATGGCATGGGGTGGTGAGTGAGAGCTCATTTGAAAGAGGGTTTTATTCCCTATTCAACCGTGCAAAACATTTTTGAAATTTGTTTCATTACTGTACTTACTTGCCTTATTGTGAATTTATTGTTTATTTTTTGTAGTTATTGGCTTATTTTACTGTAAATAGGCGCCTTGTACAGTGTGAAATAAATTTAAAGATATTTAAGGTAAGTAAAATTTATTATTTGAAAGTGAACATTAATTAAATTAAATTTATGCAACAAGAGCGACTCTAGAGGGCCATTGTCAGTAGCTGTACCCTTTTTAGCATTTATATTTTTTTAATATAAGGCTCATGGATTGTAAGAATTTTAATATCTGGGCTACCATGGATTTCTCTCTGGAGCCGCCTTTGATATTAAATTTAAAAAATATTTAACAATATTATGTGGCAGTCGAATTACTATGTTAAATACATTTCCCACGCCCAGCTCTACAAAGTAAAATAATTAAATTATGGCTATTTTTTAATTTTTTAGAAATTATCTATACTCATAGTGAATTTTCAATAAATATAATGATTCTTCTAAATATAAAACTGTTTGGATTCTTTAATATAATCCTATTGTTTGCATGAATTTATCTAAAATCACCTATTCCTGTATTGCAAAACTTTGTTGATCGCCCCAAATTATAAGCATCAACGAACAATCAAATATTTGTATAGCCTCTTAATTGGGATCATAAATAATTCTGATTTCTCAGCGATATCTATTGTGTTTTCCTCCATTTCTAATCCTACAACCTATTAATATTTGCGTTGTTAGCAAAACAGACCATCAAACGTTCACTTTAGTTAAGAACTAAATATAGGTTATTTTATTTGTTTAAAATATATATTAAACTCCGAAGCACAGCAGAACCGATTATAAAAATTAATTTTCGCTAACTATGGCGTTTCATCGTACATGTATTTAATCTACAAATTCATTGTAGCATAACGAAATTTAGCAACCAAACAGGAAATTACGCACAAACAAACAATATTAATTCCAATAATGACTGTAACAGGATATTAATAGGCCGATTTTGATATAACACACGCTGGCTTATTCGCTGTAGGCCCAAATAACAATCCCGAAATATCGTTATTGGTAAAACGTTCGCCGTAATGATTAATATTTTATGCATTAATAACTAATTTTTTTTATTAAATTTACTACAGTTTGGGGCACACTGAGAATGCAGTTTGCATAGGCAAGGGATGACCGGCACACTGTGTTTGTTGTTGTCTTTTCGATGACAGAATGGATATTAGAAAAACAAATGGGTATTTTTTATTTTTCTTTATGAAAAAAGTAATTTTAATACTTCTATATTGAACAAAGTCAAGCTAAAGAATAAATATATTTTACATTTAATATGCATCTATTGTTTATGTTTCAGAAAAATTTATGAAAGTATGATAAGCTATTTAACTCTTTTAGCAACACATAACTACCTCCTCCTTTTTTGAAGTCGGTTAAAAAGATGTAGAAGAAAAGTGGAATTGCCATTAAAAAAGATCTAACTAAAATATTAAAAATAGTAAAAGCTGCTTCAGAAAAATTGTTTTAAAAATGTCTGGACATTCAATGGAAATGTTTTTTGCCAAAACAGAAAATGATGTAGAAAAATTCTTCTTTAATCTAACTGTAGTGTAAATAGTATGTAAGTAATGATTTAGCTTTAATGGGTCATCTAAATATTCAGTCACTTGTTCAAAAAATAACTAACTAGTAATAAAAGATTTAATATTGTAGGAATAACTGACAGTTACTTATCCAAACTTATTTAATCTAATAGTTTATGAATTGAGGAAAATAATCTTGTAAGAAATATAAGAAGTGGAAGTAAACGTGGTAGTGGGATACTAGTTTATATCAAACATAACTTCTCCCTCCTTAACTTTCGAAAAGAATGGAATGATTTTTAAAATGGTTTTTCTCAATTTTATTTTTCTACATTTTGGAATTTTGTTTTCGACTTTTAGAAAAACTAAAGGTTTTATTATGTATCTATATCTTCCTGTATCAATTAACAGTTTTACATTAGGTTCACGTATTTCGATGTAAAGTAATGAATTGTTTGAAACATTGTGCAATTCTACTATTTTTTTATTTTTAATAAGGCCTGTATCTGAAAATTTTTCATTAAAATCATTTTGACTTTGATATTTATTTAAATTGTTGCAATTATTATGGTACAAATCTGTATCATATTCAAATTTAAGGCTACATTCACTTGCAGCTGCATGCAATTCCCTATCTTTGGTGGTACACTTACCGGCAAGTGTACCAAAACATTCAGGAATGACGCAAACATTGCTTTTATGTTTTTACTGCTTATGTTAGATACTTTTTTTACACAATTTTGAACTTTTTAACCAATATTTGTAGAAAAACATTTTTATTTACTTGAAAAAGGATAATTTTCTCACCGTAGTAAAATTTTATATAAACCAGTGAACTTCACCAACCTCACAAAACAAGGAAGGAAATATGAAATTTAGCCATTCACTCTTGTATATACCCTGTAATCAGCATTATTTTTTCTGCTTCTTCTGTGTTAGCATTTTGACCATTATTAAATGTGAACCAGAAATAACGTTATGCAAAAATTTAAATCCAGTATTCCGTACATATTTGCACACACCCGCAGTTGTACAAAAACAAAATTACGTTGCTTGTAGCTTACGCTTTGAGCCCCCAATTTTAATAATGCATATATATACTTCAGTAATTCAATTAATCGGAAACTGAACTGTCAAATTACATTAAAATGTTTTATTAATTTCACATATAAAACGGAAAAATTAAATTTATATGCGGCGTAACAAATGACCAACTGAGTTCATTTATTCAAAACGGATAACTGGATTTATACGAATTTGTTTTATATAATTGACAATGTATGGATGATTTATGGCATAAAACGAATGAAGTAACAGACGATATCAAACTACCGGCAGCTAATTGATCACTAATTGTTTCGAAATTATAATAAATGGCCGAAAGTTTAATAAAATTAGTGGTTAACTTGTTTTATTCATAACTGCAATGCCAGCGATAGGTGTTGTTTAGTTATACAACGCTCTCGTTAATTACCGAGATACAGGGTATTAAAAGTTTTAAATAAATTTAAAATATGGATTTTCATCTAGAAAACGCCAAAAAAAATCAAGAATTTATTTCATGAATTCCAACAGTTCTGCATCTTATAGAAAACCATTTCGTATTAAATTATTTTAAAAAAATTTATAGTTGGCTCTTAAATACCTGTGTCGCTAGTGAATGATATCGTTTCATTTTAATACTATACTTTTACTACCACGCTTCACGTATGCAAGACCAATATCTTTCATCAATTTACTTGGGGTTTTTAAAGAGAATGAATAATATTATAAATTGCATTCAAAGTTGGCGGAATGTTAAAAAAATATTGTGTACAATTCTTCTCAATAAGATCTTAAAACACTCATGATAATATATGTATTGTAACGGACAATACCTTCGTTGAAAATATTTTAGATACAAAATATCCTAAATAGAACAAAAAAATTAATTTTTTTGTATATTTTAAGAGTTTTGATATAAGCTGAAGATATATTTTTTTAAATCACTAAAACATGGGTATTTGCTATGCGAAACAAATTTATTATATGATTTTAAACATCTATAATATGAATACTTACATTTTTTTCCTTCCCCCTCCTGACCTGCCTGCTACCCTTCCACCAGGTAATGATTGCGTCTGGTCTCGAACCAGATGTTCTACATTCTACTTCATATCGTTTATCAGCAGATACGAATTTTTCTTGCGTTAGAATATTTACAGTTTGAGGTTTTACTAAAAACAAAAAAGAAATTAGTTATTTTAAACATTGAGAATTTATGAAAATGGTAATTCAGAAAAGTCAGAGAAAAATATATGAAATAAATGGCTAAATAAATTGAACATTCGGAAAAAAATGTCAAAAATCACCGTTATGAATTATTCAGACCATCCCTGAACCCCAAAAGTGAAAATACAGGATGTCCCAATGAAAAGTAGCCCGTTTCCATTTGATAAATTTTGGTTACAGTGAATTTAAAAGAGGAAAATTTAAAAAACACCCTGTATAGGTAATACATCATTTCTGTGCCACTGAAGCAAAAATTATAAGCTCTGGAAATGGGCTTTTTTCATTGAGACACCCTATATATACTTGGAAACTTAAAAAAAGCTTATCCCAAATGGGAATAAAACCCGAGCATTCTTGTATGGTAGACAAGTGTCCTTCCTTCTAGACCATCAATACATTGACGGTCGAAATTCCTATATAGAAATGTAATGTGCTAATTTGGGGCAGACAGCTGTATAGAGTGTGTAGCAGATGGTGTCCATTTGACGTGTAAAATTGTTTACATCCTTTTTGTTCTCTATTAGACGATAAAAAACTTTTCAGTCACTACAAATAGAATTCAATATAACTCGTACATTTTATGGAATTTGGTACTAAAAAACATATTGTGTTATCACTGCACTGATTAAGATGACACGACAGTTCTTCATGTAACGTGAATGTTTTAATAAAACAAGTGTTAAAAGTAATTTAAAAAAAAGGACTTCTTAACCAAATTTATATAGGACCACCCTTGAGGCACCCCCTTACTAACAGAAAAGAATCATAGAAATCAGACACCACGTTAAAGAATTATTGCTGAACATACTTAAAAAAATAATGAGTAAATTTGAATTATCTCTAATTATTTGTTTTGGACTCTTTGAATATGTTTTTATCAAATACAAGCATTAAAAGTAATTTTAAGAAACCGACTTTAAAATCGTGCAGATACTATCAGCAAATCTTATACATATTTATATGGAACCACCCCATGAGTTACCCCCTTACTAAAAAAAAAGAATTATAGAAATCGAACAAGGTGGTAAAGAGTTATCGCTAAATATACATAAAAAATAAAGAGTTTGAGGATTTTCTCATAGATCCAATTAATAGATTTTGACTAAATTTATCTGGGACCACCTCTGAAGTACCTTCTTTCTAACAGAAAAAGAATCATTGAAATCGGATACCGTGTTAAAGAATTATCGCTGAATATATATAAAAAAATAATGAGTAAATTTGAATTATCTCTAATGATTTGTTTTGGAATCTTTGAATTTTTTTAAAATCGTGCAGATGCCTTCACTACATCTTAACCAAATTTATATGGAACCACTCCATGAGGTACCCCTTTGCTAACAAAAAAGAATCATAGCAATCGGACAAGGTGGTAAAGAGTTATCGCTAAATATACATAAAAAAAAGAAGACTAAGGATTTTCTCATGGACCCAATTATTAGATTCTGACTAAATTTATCTGGGACCACCCTTGAAGTACCCTCTTTCAAATAAAAATGAATTATTGAAATAGGACACCATGTTAAAGAATTATCGCTGAATATACATAAAAAAATATAACGACGAATTCAGCCTGTTAAAAAATAATTATATTTTTTCGAGTATATATAAAATTATTAAAGCGTGATTGTGAAGGGGGTAGCGGGTCAAGGGGCCAATAATATTAAGCCATGCAAAGATATGTTGCAAAAATCAAAGTAATGAGACAAAAACATGTTTTTCTAATTTTTAAGATTTGTTTCAGAATTTTTGAAAACTATTAAAAAATATATAATTTAGATTTTGCATAAACCTTTTAAATTATTTGGGCATTTCAAAAACAATAACGATAACGCTTACTTTTCAGATATCATATTTCATTGTAGATAATTATTGTTAACATTTAATTCATTTTTGTTTCAATCTCGGTCAAGTAAACCAGTATTTTAAAATAAAGTTTTATTTCCAAAAATAGGTTTTGATTCTAAAATAACTTAACTAGCTTGATCTTTGAATTTAAAAATGTAATTGTGTTTATTTTTTCTATAAATGAGCATTTCAAAGAACTAACTTATATAAGCTAGTTCTGTTATAAAAACGCGCAATAATAAGATTTTCTTTAGATAAGAAATGACTGACTGAAGTAGATATAAAATAGAAGTGTATTGCCACTATAAAACAGTAACATTGAATACACGTCTGCTCGATACAATGGGCTACCGAGACAATATACTCATCAGCACATGCATTGAGATGCCCTTTTCGTTTTCGGAAATTAGGTATAATTATGCAGAGTGCCTCCTATTTCTTAATTCTTGAGTCCTTTTACCTTTTGCTCGAGGCATCTTTTCCATAATCTACTCAGAAATTCATCTCAAAATGGGATTATGCACATCTGAAAGTAACACTACACTGCACCGCATCGCCGTCGCCATCGTCTATCCTGTCGATTCTTTGTTGTTTTGCTTGTACCGATTCAGGTTGCACTAATTTTACTTGCAGACAAAGCTTCCATTATACTTTATAGTTTAGTTACCTTGGGGAAAACTTAGGCACAATAGCTATCAAATGCAATCCTTAAATGCAAACGATTCGCTTGACGGAAATAACTGCGCCAAACAAGGCAATGGCGTCGTTTTTGTTGATAGAATGCAGGGAAATTAATTGGATAAGTTACACGTTCAGTTTATTTATTTTCGTAGGATAAATAAACTATAAACTGTATCTCTAGAAGTTTATGTTTTTCTTTTAGAATAGATATTTTATTATTATTTAATAAAAAAATATTCTTCCTAGTTAAGCAATAATTTTTTTTGTATCATTTCTTTAGTAAGTTGCAGGGTATTTTTTTACATATCAGGAGAAAACTGATTTTTCCTAACGATTCAAAATAAATACAATAAACGTAATAACAGCAACATGGCTTTTCTCAATCACATTTAGAATAACTTTATCCTATTCCATTGCCAAATTCGCATTGTAATTATTATTTATATTAGAAAATGTCTAAATTATATCTAACACACCATTCTGTTAAACCGTTCAGTTTTCGTGGCCCAATTCTCAATACCAAATTTTGAAAAATTTATTTTTTTTAAAAGTAACAATTTGAAAAATTCAGATTATAGAAAAAAAAATAAAACGTCAATATCAAAAGTCAACATTTTAAAAAACAATGTCAAAATTTAAAAAAAAAGTTACAATTAAGATAAAATAAAAATTTGGAAAAAAAAATAGCTTTTAGAAAAACAAAAATGTTGAGAAAATAAAGTTTAAGTCAAAATTTGAGAAATAAATTGCAATTTTGAGGAAATCAACATCAAAAATTGTCATATATTATATTATGAGATTTTCTATGACATAATAGTATATTATGTAACGAGCCTTGGCGAGTGTCGTAATGAATACGAGTGTCTTTATAGCCATTACATGTAAGTTCCATACACTATTTTTTCTACGATCATTAAATTATAATAAAGAAAAATAACTAATTTATTTTCAAAATTTATTAAACTTATAGAGAAAGAACTAAATAAACATCAAAACTTTATCATAAACAAAAATAGAAATAAAAATTTAACAAATAAAGGAAATATTAGAATTATTCATTTCGATGCCCACAGATATTAGAAAATAAGAGTAAACATTTAGCAACAAAATATAAATTTATTGGATTTATTGGTAAACGTCTCTAGACATATAAATTTTAATAAAATAACCACAATAAGTTTCTTATGGAATATTTAAAAATACGAACATGAATAATTATAAATTTACATCTATTTGAATTTATCGACGTTAATAATGGCTTTATTAAGGAAGAACGTTCAATTTCAAAGTGATTATTATGTTTTTAAGAGACATCATTAAACGCATGGCTAAAACTTAAATGTAAATCTCTCCGTAATATAGATAAACGCAAATTGTACTGAAGCATGCAAATATTTGCCAACTGTTACGAAACTTTCAATTACACTTAAGAATATCTCCTTGAATAGAAAGTTTTCGGGCTCTAGCGTGTTCTTCAATCAGTAGCGAATGGTAGACTTCAAAGGTATTTCAGACCTAAAAATTGACTGGGATCTATCAAATGCGAGTCGTTAGTTATGCTCTGTCCTTTATAAGAATCTTTGAGAACGTAGCATTTTTAGATTTTTGTAAATTGGGATAAGTCTGTTTCATACCTTTTCGCAAATTTCAAGATTAGATGATGGCATAATTAAAAGGTATAAATCTAATAAGAACTTTCTTATATCTTATTCTAATTTAATATTATCTTATATTACAGGGTGTTATTTTTTTTTAGATATTCTTAATTAACATTAATTTATTTAAAACAAAAAACTGCCAAATATATAATGAGTGGAAGTAGTTGTTTAGTGTTATATATGGTGATCAAGCATTCTTATAACCAGTTTTGCTTAAAAATAAAATAAAGCTGGTAGGAATTTAAGGATTTGCGTGAAAATTTGATGTTCGATGATGGTTTAATAATTATGAAGATTTTAAAACCTTTAATTTTCAAATTTTTAATTTTACAATCTTAAATTTTAAAATTGCAAACACTAAAATCCTAAATTTTTAAATTTTAAACATCAAAATTTAAATTTTATATTCTTAAATCTAAAAAAAAAATATTTTACTTACAATTAATATCTAATATAGCTACATTCGTCTCCGCAGGGACGAGATTATTGTTGCTGGCTTGGCATATCAGTCTTGCATGTAAATGTTGTCTGCCAACATTTGGAAATGTGAGATGGTTCAGAACTGTACCATCGCTGCGAATTTCGCTTGAATCATCGATGATGGTGTTCTCCAAAAACCAAATCACTTTTGGTTTAGGGCGACCTGAAAAAATACCAGCAATAATTCAATCATTCTTTTAGTAATTTAGTAAATTAGTAATAAAAATATCTGTCATTTTATTAACATCTATGGAAAAATAAATATCTACCCAATTTTCCTGTGATAATTTTTTATGTAATGAATTGTAATCACATATTACTTTATGATATTTGTTTTGACCTGAATCATTCAGATTTAATGGACACTAGTACTATAAAATTTGAGAGAAGTGATCAGTAATTGAGGACCAGAGTTCTATGGGTACTATATTTTCTAAAGATTCGCTTGTATTAACATGCAAATGATCCAGGCAGGTTTTACTGCTACCCTGTATTCTCGTGGGTGAATTAATTACTGATATGTATCCATGTTCATGCAAAATATGACTTACATCAGTTTCCTCCAAGATATTAATATTTATGTCCCCAACGAATATATTTATGTAGTTATTTTGTTTTAAATAATTGTATAAATCCTGATTGAATTGGAATGAACATGTACTGGGAGATCTATAGATTGCTAATAATTTAAATGACTTGTTCAATTTATGGATAACTATTTCTAGTGCGTTTATGTTGTTTAAAAATTCAATTTTATAGTTGTATGTCAAATTGTTTTTAATATATACGACTACCCCATCTGCTCTGTTTAAATTTCCCTCTGAATAGATAAGATTATAACTAGGTAAAGAGAACATTTCAAGGTTATAAAGTTTGTATGTTTCCGTTAACACATAACAATCAACCGCCTTATTAAAACTTGCACTAGGAGTGTGTGAGATGGTCTTAAAAGATTTAAAAATATATTAATAAATAATTAGATACAAGGAATCAAATAATGTAAATTTCTCATTTTCTTCTAAATTATCTTTTACTAGGTTTTGCGGATTCACCGAAGATATGCATAATAAAAATGATTTAACTTTACTGTATAATAAAAAAATATCTAATTCAAAAGATGTCGCACGTTTTTATAGAACTAAAAAAATAATGATGTGCCCGGTTCATCCCTATTATAAAGGATATCGTGAAATTGCCTTCAATACATCAAAGGACTTCTCAAAAATTGACAGAATGTATGTAAAGGGTCTGAACGGATTCGTTTAAAGTGCAGGAACGTGAGGATTTCGAATCGTTCCGTTGTATCGCGAATGGTAGATCAGTGGCGTGATTAAATAGAGCTAACTGTAGCCCATGACCCGTCAGCACGTTTGTTTAAGTTTTATTGACGTTATACAAAATATTTCGACTTTAATAATAATATGTATAATATTTATTTCCTAATACAAAATTAAAATGAAAATTTGATTAATTACCTAAATATTATCAAAGAAAAACTTACCTCCTATAACTTCACAGACTAGATTCACGTTTGAACCTTCGTTATAGGGTCCTAGTAATACTGTTCGATTTTTTCGATGTCCATCATAGATGAAAATTTTTTTAGGGGGTACTGAAATAAAAAAAAATATATATCAATATCGTAATAATATTAAAAAGATGGAATTTTCATTTTAATGATCATAGAAACTTTTATTTAGGGCAATATTAAAACGTATCTATATATAACTAACTATATTACTGTACTAATTTAAAAACAATGAAGACAATTGTTTAAATCATTTTTAAGAGAAAAATTGTAGGCTTAAGAGTAGATTAACAGCTTGTAAGTAGGATCCCACACATTTGAATAGCCTTTGGCAACGCTGTAACGTCAAAGAGGGGTTTATAGCAAACGTCAGTATAGTTACGAACGTGACAATAAGATTTTGTGCTGATTTTTCTGATTTGTAGTGTGCAATTTATTGTTTGGTGTGAAGATGGGTGAGTAGAAGACGTTTGATTAAAGGAAAACATGTGCATTTGAGTAATGCAAGAAAAAATCGTCGAAATATAATGAAAAATTAAGTGAGTTATTCAAATAGTTAATAAATTAGGGATGGACGTGAATCCAACCAGAATTTCTTATACCAATCCATCTCTAAGTCAAATATACAAACAAAAATAATTTTTTAATATTATATTTTTACCACGAAGCTCGGAGATTTTCGGAAAAAAGTATCCTTTGACCAAAATACAAAATATCGAGGAAACAAGCGACAGGTAAATATATTCATTTTTCACTTTATTTACCAAAAAACAATTATTTACCCCCCAATAAACTTTAAAAAACGGTAGGAGACGAAAATTTTTACTTTAAGTTTCAAGTAACGGTGATGGCAGAAATAGAACACGAGCCTACCAGACAGGATTTTTAGAAGAAAGCAGATAAAATGAAAACCAGTATCGTGTATGTCATAATAATTACTCCCACCCTAGGGAATTCATCACAATAAATGAACAAGAAGATGAACATATTAATAATTTATTACCATTTATAAAAATTAATATTCAAAGTTAATAGTAACAGCATTAATTGATACTGGATCCCAAATTCCTTTAATCAATGAAACATTTATTAAACAGAATAAAATATCCATAAAAGAAAATATTTATAGAATCAACAAAATAGAAGTTATTGCATCAAATGGAAAAAAAATTGCAGAAGCAAATAAAATACTAAATACAGAAATAGAAGTTAATGGTGAAAAAGGTGTTTTTTATTATTCCTGATATAACAATGGATGGGATTTTGGGCATGGATTTTCTAGAAAGGAATGAAGTAGAAATAAATCTAAGGACAAGAAACATAGAAATTAATGGAAAAATAATAAAGATGATCAGAGAATAAATGCTAGAAATCCAGAACAGTTTATTACATAAAAAAATCTTTAAATGAAGATAATTTCCTGACTGTCGTAGAATTTTATATATACATAAATTTTTCCTTGGTTTATTCGGTCAATTTTTTTATTAAGTTATTAAGCACAACATATGTTTCGGAAAACAGTTTTTTCCATCTTCTGGTGCAGTCAATTTATTTTTAAAAAACAAGGGCGACGAAAACAAACAAATTAAAAAATTTTAAAATGCTAAAACCCCATCTTTTGTTTCGTAGCGTGTTTTGGTGTATTTGAAATAAAATATTGATTTAATTTAACACGGGATCTTATTTTGTTTATTTAAAAAGTATTGAATCAAAATTATTATTAAGTTCTTAAATATCTAAAGATTATAAATATAATTATAATATTTTTGTATCTTAATCTTTTCAAATTAAAAAAAAATGTAGTTAAACATTTTATTAATCGATCTAATTCACGTTCAAATGCTCGATGATTAAGATCAAGTCTGCAAAGGTCAGCTCACAAAATTATATTTTAAACATAAAAAAAATATATTAAAACTTGAAGTTTTCTGAAAATAAAAAAATCTCTCGCAACCGGAATAGGCGCTCTCTGTAATCGGTAAAACATCTCCGTAGAATTCACAAATATAATTATGTAGCTACGGCTACGACGCGCACACCGTGTGCGGGTACTTCAGTTAAATTCGAGGGCCTGGGAGAACAATAATTTTTGGCTGGCACGCTTATGATTTTCTCAAGTTCGCTTAAGACTGGAGCTGACGATACGAGCAGATTGTTGACGCGAAGTCAACATTATTTTCACGTAAATTTCTCTGTTCATCCTTTTTCGAACAATGTTGGTCGTTCAGACACTGCAGCTCGAGCGAGCCTATTACTTACTCTTAAGAGAAAGTTCTTTTCCTATTGAATCTTTGAAAATATAGACACGTGCCGTAACATTTATGTGATCATTTACGTAAGTTGTGTACCATCGTTAATAATTATCTAAGTCTAATATCTAGCTTTGTAAATTATTACATATGTTCTGTACCATCGTTAATAATTATCTAAGTCTAATATCTAGTTTTGTAAATTATTACATAAGTTAAATAATTTCATTTCTTTAAGTACCAATAGGATATTTTCCAGACTCACTCAATATTCGTTATATTTATTCTTACCCTAATAGCACAATTTCTATTTCTATCTAAAGCGTATAAATTGCGAATTTTGCATAAATTTTCCCGCACCATATTAATCAAAAACTATTTTCTCTAAGAAAATAGGATAGGTACGTTGTTACGAAGCGGTAATATCATCATTCAGGCCAAATAACGCTTATATCTTGAATGGCTTTCGACTTTAGATAGGTAAAAGCGTTTTGAAATTTAGCGCAGTAACAACATCTTGAAACGAAATTAATTTCAAGTTTATTAAATTTTCGAAGCAGATGCGGGGTGAGATACTGACAAAGAACAAATAAACCATTACAGCTGTTTTTTGCAAACGAAAGAATGTAAATTTAATTAAATGTGAAACGATCAAACTGGAAGTGAAAAGTTGAATAAATCCAAATTTAAGTTTTTTATGTTTTTTTTTCGTAGAATTGCTTGTTTAGTTCAATCAAAATTACTTTTCCATAGATAAAACTTATTATATTTATTTGGTCTAGTGAAAATATATAAAAAGAGTTAGTTAAACATTTAATAATATACCTAGATAAATATAAACATTTTTTTTATATAAGGAGTATGAACCAAAAATAGTACTCACAGTATACAATATAAAAATAACAGTAAGTGGTATTAGTCTTAACATTAGTAAATTTAAAAATAAAAAAATAGTACTCACAGTATACAATATAAAAATAACAGTAAGTGGTATTAGTCTTAACATAAGTAAATTTAAAAATAAAAAAATATTAACATTGTATTTATTTAAAAATAAAGATAGTATTTAAAGATATTACAATAATATAAAGATAGTATTTAAAGATATTACAATAATATAAAGATATTATTTAAGAAGATAGAAAATGAAAAAGAAAATATCACTCTAGACTTCTATAATCAAGAAATATTTCGAAAATGTACGTAAACGTATCATGAAAAATATCAATTTCTGTGAGGTTAGATAAATTATTGTAGCTTTTGATACATCTGTGAATTTAAGTAGTACCAAAAATCCTCCCGAGCAAGAGGGATAATGTCCCACGTCCTAAAAAGAACAACTTGCAAGATCAAATAGAGCCATTTGGCTCTCCTTAAATATCTTGGAAACCCGTCCTGATGTTCTAGGTTTTAAAACATCACTAAATTATTCTTGCAAAAATACAGCCTTTTTCCTATTTAACTGACTTTGTAACTCGGTTTTTGAAATAGCAATACGGTTCAATATAAAAAGTAGCCACTCTGTATATCTTACCAAAGTTTCTTCTACCTTTAGGCGTAACGCAATATCTCTTCGGAGTTTAATTTAAGCAGCCCCATCTGGACTAATATCAGGCATTTTCGCTAATCGTTGTAACGTACTCCTTGGAACTTCAAACGTTTAAGCTGTCTTCAAAGTACTTATAGTTTCTTCTCTTGCTGCCTGTATAGCTTTTTACATGTTATCCGAACTCCAGGTCATCCTCCGTGAATAACACTAGTGTCTAGGTACCAGGTCGCAGAAGATTTACTAGCCTAAGAAGGAGTCAAATGCTTTTATTGGCCCAAAATCCTTCTGTGGTGTCACACAGACAGCTATCAGAACATGCTTAAAGCGGTGAATGTTTAACAAACCTCAGAAATAAGAAAGGCTTAAAATGATCATCGCATCTAAGAAGTTACATTAGGAAATACACTAATAATCCTATTGACTGGGAATTGTAAGCTTAAAAAACATATTATGTATAATAGTACTTTTAGTCGAACATTTAGTCTCAGTTTCAGTACAGTTGTCAGTTCAGTTTGAAAATTACATCCCTTCTGACAACTGATACGATAACTTGGTATACCCATCGAGCCTCCGCTCCGTATCAGTTTCAGTTTTTCTTACAGTTTTTTGTATTTACACATACAGATAACTGACAGTTCAACTAAAACTGACACTGAACGGGAACTGATCTGACGGTCTAAAAGTACCTTAACATCGGTCTGCCAGAGGAGACCTTGTACCTATTCTGTCTGAGGAGAAAACAGCAGTACACTTTTTGTGCTACTGCGATGGTTTATCAAGATTGAGATTCGCGTTACTTAGAGAAGAAAAACCAAGGGCAACTAGTCTTCCTAAAGATTGATGTGATGAGGGAGGCCACATGTCCCACACTCCTAATTAAATCTAATCTAATATTAAACCAATAAAATTAAGTTACAAAGAAATATACGTATCAGAACTCAACAGAACCTTCAAATTGATAACTAACTACCGCAATTAAAACGCCTTAACTGAATAATCCTTTAATATTATCACGCTAGTACATACCAAACAAAGAGATCATGCATTATACACCCATTCTGACCTATTCCAATAGCCATTCTCCTACGAATAATGTCACACCAGATCGTGCATAAAGTTAGTATTAATCCATTTTGCGAAATGGCTTTTAATCCGAATTCACGGCGGCGAATCATAAGATAACTACATAAGTTATGCCTATCAGGTTAAGTTTGTTATGAAACTGGTCCGGAGGCGGCCAGGGCAATTAATAAAATTAATTGAATTATTTCCGATCAATGATCCTC